GCTCATGCTCCTGCCGCCCCGCACAGCACCACTTGGGGCAAGAGGAGCTTCAGCCCCACAGATTCTGCCCAGTGTATGTCGCTTTGGCTGCCTTCTACCCCCTCCACCTAATGAGCAGCCCCTGAGGGCAGGCACAGTGGGTGGGAGACAGCTGGAGCTGGAGCCCGATTTCCACGCGCTGGGCAGAAGTCGTTGGGCTGAAGCTCCCACCTGCCCACCCAGAGCAGCACAGTGTGGCACAGCAGGGCAGGGGCAACAGCAGCAGTAGCAGCTGGAGACGAGTGGGGTAGAACAGCCCACCCAGCCCCAGGCAGCCTGCAGCTTGTGATGTGGCTGCAGCTGCTGGGTGCTGCACAGGACAGGGGTGTGACAGAAGCTGCGGTGGATGGTCTCCAGGCTCGGGGCCCGCTGGTGCCTCCGAGCTGCCCAGTCAGGCTGCTACACAGCCAGCCCCCATCCATGCTGCCGGGCCAAGCTGTCACAGAGCCACAGCCACTGGAAAGTATGCTTCCCAGCTGGCTGTGGCTCCATGACAGCCCTGCCCAGCTTGGGCACAGGAAGCCAGGAGCAATCTGACTGTCCAGCCTCAACCGCAGCCCCAGCCTCAACCGCAGCCCCAGCCTCAACCGCAGCCCACTGGGAATGACCCAGCCCCCACAGCCCAGCCCTGGCTGGACCCTCCACCTGTGCTCAGCAGCACCTGCAGGATGGCCCGGCTCAGCTCCACAGCCGCAGCCCCAGGTGAGGCAGGCAGATGGCAAGGCCATGCCAGCTGACTCTGATCACGCTCCCTCCACTGCCACTGGAGTTGGGAGGGGGGAGTGGCTGACAGGAGCTGCTCCACCCTGGCCAGGTTGACCCAGGCTGCTGGTGGGACAGGGGATGGAGGGAGAGATTAAATCCCCTTCCCTTTCCCTGTTTGCTTCAGGCTGCATGTGGGGGAAAGGGGGGTGCTGACATGGGCTGGCAGACCCCAGCTGTCATCCCCAGTAGGAGAGGGGAAGGAGGGGGAAATAAGTCCCCTCCCTGCCCCCCTTTGCCTCAGGAGGCCATGCTGGGGCAGCATCAGGCCATGGCCCTGGCCCTGCTTCAGCTACACAGCAGAGGGGTGGGGCCAGCCCTGCTCTCTGGAGCAGACAGCATAGCTCAGCCCAGGGCTGAAAAGCATGCTGGGATGCTGGGGGACTCTGGTTTAACTTAAGGGATCTGGGACAGAAATTGCATAAACCGGTTTGACCCAAATCAGTAATGTCTGATACTACACTCAACCAGGTTTATCTTAAACCAGTTTCGGCCATTTTGAAACTGGTTGAAGTGCACTGAACTTCTGTTCTGTTACAAGTGTAAACCAGTTTCTAATCACTTAAACCGGTTTATGTGTAAGGTCTGTCCCTAGCCTGGAAGTGATGATCGTCTAGACACAACTCTCCTACTCATACCCGAAAACACAGGCTCTTACCACTGGCAGTTTAAAGAGCTGCATTCAGTGTTAGTGGAACTGGGCCTGGGACACCTGGCAGTCTGGATCCCAGCAGAAGGTGGCGGTACAGACACACACACACAAACCCAATAGGAGTGCATTGTGTTTTCCAGCCTGGGTTATTTCCTTAAAACCCGGTACCTACTCCTAAACCTTTGCACAAAGCACACTGCATAGAGGTGGTCCGCTGTTCAGCTTCAGCGCTTCTCCACCACAGAGGCAGCCCTTTAAAGCAAGCTCCAAAGGAGGGATTAATACGGCTGGAATTTTCAAAGGGAGACCAGATTTCCTCCTCTAAGACCCATGAACAAGTTCTTTATGTTTCCAGTACACTAAATAATATTGCAGACGTTACTCTGTGCTGGGCACTATAGGGATGTCGATGAGCTGAAAGACCCTTTACAAAAAGGGTGTTAGCTATTGAGCATCCAGTTCTGTTTGGATGGTTCATTACACTAAATACTAACAGGTGACTATTCGCTCCCCACAGGGCAAATGCAGCCACTGTTCGCATATCTGCTTACTAACAGTAGGAAAAAGGGAAATAATCACCTGCCTGTCTGAACACGACATGTTTTGGGGGCCATTCAGTCGGGTGGAGGTTACCTGAATAGACAGTGCCTATGGATCCCATGCTGACCTGATCCAATTAAAATTAATTATTTAGCCTACAATGAACTGTGGTGAAAGATCAAGAATCAGCTGCTAAGTTTGGAATTACTTTTCAGGTGTGCCCAGCCAGTGAAGAAACGTGGACTTAAGAGGGGATTAACGCTGTAGCTGTTCCCTAAGCAGGACAACTAGACATCCACTGATGATGCAGAAAGAGAAATGGATAAGCTGGCCACAGCCTAATACTGACAGATGGCATGGGGGGGTGACCACTGGGCCAGCCCGTTGGCAGAAGCCCTCTGGAAGATAATGGTGTGGTGGTACACAGGGGGTAAGGACTGCTGGTGTAAGAGGGAGCTCAGCATTTGGACTGGATGGGAAATCCGGAATCCGAACATGGGCCTTTTGGCCACGGTACCAAACAGACCTTTAAATCACCGCCTCTCAGTATTTCCTTTGCCAACCTCAGCCATTGCTTAACAAGCATAAACTGCTCTTTTGTTTCCAAATTAGTTGTTTTAAGCAAAGCTCAGGGCCCTTTTCTGCAAAGCCTTTTATAAATAGGGTGCCTTGGTTGACCACATGCGCCATGGCGAAATGTTTCCCTGTCTCTTTGATCATCTCCCAAAGCTGAGTGCCAAGCCAGAAGGGGGAACTACCAGTAGCAGGCTATCAAGGGACATTTTGGGAGGATATCAAGGGACACTTTGGGAGGATATCAAGGGACATTTTGTCACCCTGCAGCATCTCTGGGATAAGATGATCATGCAGAACCTGAACAAAGCCCCGTACTATGCAACTCAGCCAGCTCACGAGACTTCACTGCATCCCACTGACTGCTTTCCTCGGGACGGGTACCTGCAAACAGCCCTGCAAAGCAAGGTGCATCTTGTCAGAGGCAAAGTAGACCCAGGCTTTAGAAACACTAGAGAGAAAGGAAAAATAAAGTTGAAAGGCACCAGGGTTCCTGGCAAAGTACCTTTTCACGCTGCCCATCTTGCTCTTCCCACAAAATAAAGTACCATATAGAAAGAAGCTGCCATCCTAAAACTAATTCTGTTGTGGGTGACTTCTCAGAGCTTATTTCAAAGCCTGCTTTTCACTATTAAAGTCCTGAGGCACGAGTCTATACAGTAGGACCGACCCTCCAGCGACTCCCAGGACGCACTGCTTCCTCTTACGAAAAAGGGACTCCGCGGTCACCGTGGAGAATACAGTCTAAGCCTGGAGCAAGGCAAGGCTTGGAGAGGAACATGGGCAGCTAAAGACACTGAGCTACAACTCCTGCGAGGCAACATTTCTGGGGAAAAAAATAGTAGTTCAGGTTTATGCTGAAATTCCACATTTTTCACAGGAGGAAAAACCATTCTCACCAAATATCACCTGCTGAAATTTCCACAGGGATCCACTACAGACATGGAGCAACAAATGAGGCCTGTTTTATCCCGAGCGCTCGACTGGCACATTACACAGCAGTGCAGCAATTCAATACCATCCCCTTCCCCATGCCCCGCTCGGCCATCTGTCTGCAGGTCCGCAGCTGCAGTACAACCGCGTCAACTCTTGTTCCCAATCTTCCAGCAGCTCCTCCTTCCCCAGGTGGCATGGGCCTGGAAACATTGCAGACCAGGAACCAAGAGAAAAACTCTTGTCTGCAAAACCCTTCCTTAGAGAAAACTATACACTCACAAGCCAGGACTTTTCCAAGCCCTGATCACACTTAGAGAAAGCTGGTGGCCTCACTATCGCTCCGTAACTAAAGAAATTAAAGTAGGAAGCACAAAACTTGGAAACCAAATGCATGCCTGGGCTACTAATAAAAAAAAAAATACTCCACAAAAGAATGAAAGGCAAGTTATTAAGATATTTAGAAATCCCAGGCTCTGTCACTCCACAGCTCTCCCTGCTTTAAATGCAACTGGAAAGCACCGTGCATGGCAAAGTCTGTCCAACAGCTTCCAGATATGGCGATCTCTCTCTTACATACTTAAATCGCTCCGGTATCTGGGCCCCTCAGTCTTCAACGTGTTTAGACTAACAGCACTGCTGCAAAGCTGGGGCTCGCTATTATCACAAGTTATGAACAACCTAGCGAGGCAGAGAGAAGCAAAGTGTCACGAGGATAATCTATTGCAGAGCAGGGATCCACATCCTGGGCAATTAACCTAGCGCTGCTAGACCTTCCTCCTCCTCTGACCCAGGCGGGAGGGATGACAGCTCCCTGCCCTGCTCTGGGCATGACCTAGAGGAGAAACGCACAGCTCAGACCTTTAGCAAGGCATGTACAACGCTGAACCTGAAACAGAGCTTAGCCATCTCCTGCGTGGATCATGGCTGTCTCTACCTCAAAGGAATCAGGACTCGCGGTACAAGTGGTAACTTTTATTAGATCAACTAGATTTTTTTATATGCAAAAATCAAATTGATCTAATAAAAGATATCAACTCTACATCGAGTCCTGATTCCTTTTGCCTCTAGTCCAATACGGCTACAACCCGGATATCACTCTACCTCTATGGGTTACTTGAAAGTTTGTCTCTTTATTATACTTTCACATTACTTATATAGCATCCCATGCCGGTAGTCCCATGAAACCATATGGAATAGAGTGGGCAAAGAAACTTTTCATTTACTTTTCATGTGGATGTAGGGACAGAGAGGAACCTCAGACCTCTGAAACCGAGGGACCAAAATAGACATTTAAGCCACGGTGGAGTCAGGAACGGCCCAGGGTAAAACGCACCACAAAAACAAAGCTGGGACCTTTCCTGCTCCTATAACCTCAGCTGACTGATACATTAATGCTGCACCTGACATCACAGGATCTTCCGGCCCTTTGCATGCTTTAATCAAGCCGTATGATACACCTGGCGGACAGGTAAATGCTATCGTCATATAGAAGACTTACCCATGAATAGCATGGATGGAGTGAGGTTCATAATGGTATCTTCCTTCCTGGTGGCGCATGTCAATTGGCAAAGGAGCATGGAAGGGCGGAAAAAT